TATTTAAAGTTTTAATATTTAATACGAACCAAAAAAATAAAAAAAAATATATAAAAATAAAAAAAACTAAAAAATAAAAAAATAAAAACTTAATAATAATAATAATAATAATAATAATAATAATAATAATATAATTTATAATTATAAATAAAACATTTAATTATTTAATTATTATTAATTATTTAATTATTATATATTAATAATAATAATAATAAATAATAAAAAAAAGAAATTTTGATTTTGAATTTTGAATTTTTTTTTTTTTTTTTTTGCTATGGCAGACTGCATTTTTTTTTTAGGAATTATTAAAAATTAATAAATAAAATAAAAACTTTTTTTTTTGTTTATATGTATAACTTTATATTAAAACGGATTGTTTTTTGTTTTTTTGTTTTCTTTTCTTAATATTGTATTATTATGAAAAAATAAAAAAAATAAATAAATAAACATTTCTTTTAATTATTATTATTGTTGTTGTTGTTGTTATTTTTTTGTTATTGTTTTTATTTTAAAGTTATTACTAATTATAAAAAATATAAAAAAAATGTTTGTTTTTTTTTCTCCTTAAAATTGTTTTCTTTTTTTTATATTTTTTAATATGAAAATTTTTTAAATTATCAATAAAATCTAAATAATTTCTTGATAAAGTAAAAAATAAAAAAAAACAATTTTTACAATAAATAAAATAAATGAATGATTAAATATTTAATTAAATAAATAAATATTTAATTAAATAAATGTATGTATATAATTAAATAAATAAATGATAAATGATGCATTTTCTTTTTTATTTCAAGTTAGTTTATTGATTGTTTTGTAATGTAATGGAAAAAATTGATTTAAAAGTAGAAAGAGATATTTTAAAAAAAAATTGGTAAAGCCGTTTTATTACATTATTCTTTTATAGACATATTAAAAATAAAATATAAAAGCGTTAAAAAAAATCAATTGTTAATATAATCCATCAATGATAAATTATGTTAATATATAGGCTTGTTTATATATAAAAAAAAGATTATAATAAAGATTATTTATAATAAAGATTTATATAATAATATAGGATTATGCATTAAATAAGATAATCATTGATAGAATAATAAAAACTAAAAAAGAAAAGAAAAAAAAAAAAAAGAAGATTATACTTTATTTGTTTTTATTTTTAAAATAATTCATTTTAGGTATTATTAATTATTAATTATTATTAATTATTATTAAAGTAGTAATAATAATAATGTCAATTTAGTTTTATAATTATTTATTATTTAAAAAAAAGAAAGGTTAAAAATGTTAGATGATAGAGTAATAATAATTATTGATAATTATTGATAATTAATAATTATTGATAATTAATAATAAATATATTATTTATTATAATTTATTTTATTTTGATTAGGATAATTTAGTTGTTTAGGGTTAGTTTAAGAATTAATGTTATGAAAATTTATAACCTCAAACCTTAGAAATTAAAAAGTTGGAGAGAAAGAAAGTCTTTATGTTGAAATTGAAATATTTCGTATATAAATAAAGATATAGATTAACAAATTATATTTTATGTCATCGTTTATAATAGTAGAATGTGTAGATTATGTTTTATGAATTATTATAACGGATAGTTTTTTCTTTATTATAAACAACAATAAATAATTTAATGTTATCAGTAATAATAAATATTTTTTCTTTTTCTTTGAAAGCATACAGTTTGTACATCATTTTTTTTTTTTGAGTTTAAATATTAATATAAATGAATCAAAAAAAAAATAATAAAAAAGAAAATGATACTAATAAAAAAAAAAAAAAACAGATAAACATTATAGATAATAATGAGTGATATCGGGGGGAAAGTAGTGTAGTAATTAATAATGAAAGTAGTGTAGTAATTAATAATAATAAAAAAAAAAAACAATAAATCCATACTAGCCCTTAATTCTATATAGAAAATTAAAGTAAAATTGATCTATTCTATTCCAATTCCACTTGGGTCGGTAATAGGATCAATATTTGCCCTACTAGGCTTGTCCTACTGTGTTATCAGTTTTGACGTTTCTTAATAATAAAGGAATTAAATAAATATATAATCTCAATATAAAAATTTTACCATCCATAACTAACAAACTAACTAAATAAATAAATAAATAAATAAATAAATAAATAAATAAATAAGTAAATAAATAAATAAATAAATAAATAATAAATAAATAAATAAATAAATAGATAGATAAATAAATAAATCAATAAATCAATAAATAAATAAATAAATAAATAAATGAATCAATCAATAAATAAATAAATAAATGAATCAATAAATAAATAAATAAATAAATAAATAAATAAATAAATAAATAAATAAATAAATACTAAAAAAAGGAAAAATAATTTTTTTTTTTTGGCTTTTTGTTTACTTTTATTTATTAAAAACTTCGTAATTATTTCCATATAAATATTATAATAATAATAAGAATAAGAATTAAAGAAATTAATTATATTAATTATATATTATATATTATATAATTATTAATAATTATAATATAATAATAATTTTATATATTATATAATTTTATATATTATATTATATTAAATAATAATAATTTATTATATTATTATTTATTTCTTGTGTAAGGTTGATCCATTTTATTTTTTGATTTAAATATCAAATTTTAAAATCTTATTTAATTATATTTTATTCTAATATTATATAATATAAATTATTAATTAGAAAATAATTAAATAATTTAAAAGCAATTACATTATAATAAATAGTTCTTTATATATTATAAATATATTATTATTAGTCTTAACAAGGAAAAAATAAAAATATTTTAATTTAATTTCGACTATCTAAAATTTATTTAAAATGTCTATTTATTTATTTAATTATTCAATATTTATTTATATAAAAAGTGCATTTATTTACTTATTTTATTTAAAATGTACATATTATTTATTTATTTACTTATTTTATATTATTTAAAATAATTATTTGTTTAAAATGTGCATTTATTTATATAAAATGCACCTATTATTTATTTATTTAAAATGTGTCTATATATTTATTTAAAATAAGTATTTATTTATTTAATAATTAAATATTTATTTATAATATTTATTTATTTATATATTTATTTATTTATTTTATTTAAAATAGTTAATTGTTATTTGTTTAAAATGTGCATTTATTTATTTTCTTTTTATGGTAAGTCTTATTGCTTTTTTTTTTTTTTTTTTTTATTGTCTTTATTACTTTATATGGAAATTTATGAAAATAAAATGAAAAATAAAAAAACATAAAAAAATAAAATTTTTTTTTGAAATTTAAATTAGTTAATTTAAAAGCCTTTATCAATCTAATATATGATGATCGTATAATTTATATACAAATTTAAATTGAAATTTTAATATTTATAATAAATGATTAATGTATAATAAGTAAAAATTTTGATCTTATGAATAAATTAAAGTATTAGCCTTTAAATTCCAATATATGATGATTTAATTTAATGATTTAAATTTTTAAATAGATAACATATATAAAATAATTAACACATATATTATTTAATTAACAAAAAAATTAATTAAAAAAGTCAAAAAAAAAAAAAAAATAAATAAATAAATAATTATGAATTATTGTAAATAAATATTGTAATTAATTTAAATATTGTAAATATTATTGAATTTTTGTGTATTCTTTTTAAGTTATTATAATATATATATTTAAAGAGAAAATAATTAAAAAGAATATAATAATATATATTAATATTAATATAAATAAATAAATATAAATAAATATAAATAAATATGGTTATATAAATATAAATATAATTATTAAATCAAAGATATTTGAATAAAGTAAAGTAAATAAAAGAAAAATTATATATTATTAAATATTAAATATTAAAATATTAATTATTAAATATTAATTATTAAATATTTATTATTATTTATAAAATATTATATTATATAATAATGAATTTATTATATGAAATCTTTAAAAAAAATAATGAATGAATTAATCATTTAATTCTAATAAATTCTAATATATATAATATATAATATATATAATATGTATACATAAAAACTTTTTATAGTAATTAAGTTGTTTTTGATAAAAAAGGAAAAAAGTAAGTTCTTTTTGTTTCAAATCTTTAAAGTACAAAAGTAATATTCTAAAATAAATAAATAAATAAATAAATATAAATAAATAAATAAATAAATAAATAAATAATAAAATTTCAATATATAAATAATATATAATAATATATATATTATTTATATAATCAACTATTAAATGTATTAAATGTTATCCATAATTTTTTTATTAATGATGTAATGATGTAGGATGATATAATAAATTATTATTTTTTATTATTTATTTACTATTATTTAGTATTATTTACTTATTATTTAGTATGAAAAAGTGGAATAAAAAAAAAAATAAAAAGAATTAAAAAGAATTTTTTTTATTTTTTTAAAAAATAGAAAAATAGAAAAATAATTAATAAATAAATAATATTATAAATAAATAATAATATTATAATAATAAATAATAATGAATAATAATAACAATATTAAATAATTAATAAAATAATATTTAATAAATAAATATAAATAAATTTAATTATTTATTACTTATTAATTATTTTACATGTTTTACATGTTTTAAATGTTGAAAATTATTGGCTATTAAGGATTAAGAAAGGAAGGATGATTTTACTTTTTTAAAAAAAAAATAATAATAATATAATAAAACGAAAAAAAAAAAAATTATTTTGTATATCTGTAATCATTGAATTTAAATATGGAATTATGGGAAATATGGAATTATGGAATAATGGAATTATGGGATTATTAATAGATAAATAAATTAACAGATAATAAATTAATAGATAGTAAAATATAAATTATTATTTATTATTTCTTTTTTTTTTTTATAAATATACCAAATAAAAAAAAAAAGAAATAACTTAAAGAAAAAAAAAATATTAGAGAAAATGTAAAAAAGGAATTGCGTTAACCGGGAATCGAACCCGGGCCATTTGCTTGGAAGGCAAATATTCTACCTCTATACTATTAACGCTTCTTAGTTATTTAAAATTTTTATATATTAAATAAAAATTTTTTATAAACTAAATCATTGTTTTTTTTTTCGGGTTAGATTGATTCCATCCTATTCCATAAATTCGTTCCATTTTTTATGAAAGTGAATAGATATAAATTAGTTTATTTAGGAAGAGATGAAAGGGAAAGAAGAAGAATAGGAATAGAAAGAGAAAGAGAGAAATAAATTAAAAATCAAATAGATAATTTATTATTATTATTAATTTTTTTTTTTCAAATGTGTGTATGTACACAATATGTATGTATTCATATATATGTATATATATAGTATATATGTATAATCTTAAAATGAATGAAATTTAAGTTTTATTTATTTTGTATTATTTATTTATTATTTTAATTTTTCTTTTTTTTTTTAATGGTTAAGTAAGTTAGTAAGGAAAAGATGAAAATTAAAGAAAGTAAGTAAGGAAAAGATGAAAATTAAAGAAAGTAAGAAAAAAAAAAAAAAAAAAAGAAATGGTTGAATTTTTTTTTTTTTAATTATTAAAGATGGATCCGGTTTTTTTTTTTTTTTTATGTGGACGAAGAAGAAGAATAATCTTAGTATATATTGGAATTTGAAAGATAAGATATAAATCATTAAATTTTCTTTTTTTTTTTTTTTTTATTATCAATATTTATTTATTCCCTTGTTGTAACAAGTAAAATTCCTTTTCATTAAAATTAAAAATTTTAGGTTTGTTCCATTAACTAAAAATCATTTAAATAATTTATATATATATATATATATTAAATATTATAATTACTATTATAGTAAATATTTCATGTTTTTTTTTTCTTCTTTGGTTTTATTATTTAATATTTATTATTATTAATTTTTTTTTATTATTTATTATTTATTTTATTTTATTTTATTTTAGTTTTTTTTTTTTTTTTTATTAAAATAACTAAATAAAATAAAATAAAATAAAATATAATAAATAAATAACGAAAAATAAATAATATAAAAAAGTAGATATATAAATGAATATAAAAATAAAAAAGTTAAAAAAAAAAAAAAAAAAGTTTTTTTTTTTGATAATTATTATTATTTATTATAATTGTTTTTTTTTTTAAAAAAAGAGTTAATATTATTATTATTTATTTTAAATATATAATATTTATATTTTTATATATAATATATAAAATATATATATTATTTGCTATACTGCGCATGCTAAAAGATAATAAAAAAGGTTTTATTTCTTTCCTTTTATATTATAAGAAAAAAATAAAAGGAAAAGAAAAAATATAAAAAAGAATAAAAAAACCCTTAACAGATATATAAGAGAAAATATATATATTAAAAAAAAAGAGTAGTGTTATCATTATAATTATTATTATTAATTATTATTAATTATTAAATATTATTTATAATATAAAAAAAAGAAAGATTATTATTATTATTTTAGTAAAATAGTAAAATTAAAGTTAAAATAATATATTTATGTAATATAATATATATAAAATTATGAAATTATATGTATATAAAAAAAAAAAAAAAAAAAAAAAGAATAAAAAAAAAAAAAAACTATAAAAGATTATAAATTGTAAATTTGTGTTAATAATAATAACATTGTAAAAAAATAAGATATAAAATAAATTATAAAAAAAAAAAAAATAAAAATTGGAAAAAAGAAGCTAAATTGAATCTTTTATAGTTTTATTTTTTTTTTTTTTTTGTTTTCTTTTTTTTTTGTTATTTGTTTTTTTTGTTTTTTGTTTTTTGTTTTTTTTTGTTTTTTTGTTTTTTTGTTTTTTGTTTTTAGTTTTTAGATTTTTTTTTTTTTTAATTTTTTTTAATCTTAAATTATATATATATTATATTATTATATCATATATTATTTTTTTCTATTCTTTTCTTTTTGCCTAAAATAAAATATTATTTTTAGGTAAAAAAAAGATTTTTTGTATATATATTTAACATTATTATTTTACATCTATAAAAATATATATAAATATAATTTTAATTTAGTTTAAATTGATGAGTAAATATTATATTATGATTTTATATTTTAAATTACTAAATTTATGTTTTTTTTTTTTTTTTTTTTTTTAAAAAAAAAAAAAGAAATATATTAAGATTTTGTTTGTTGTTGATGTCTTTTTTGTTTTTCCTAACTATAACATTTTGAAATAATAGTAAATTATAAATTTGATATTATTTTAGTCATCTTGTTTTTTTTTTTATTAATTATTTTTCTTCTCTTTTCCAAATTGTTATATGTAAATTATTTTTTTTTTCTTAGTCTTTTGTTTTTTTTCCCCTTTTTTAAAGACTCTCTTTTTCTATTGATGATAATAATAAATTGAATATATTATATTTGAATATATATATTATTCATTTTTTTTGTAAAAAATGAAATAATATTCCAATAAAAATGAATTATTAATTATTAATATTATATTTTTTCTTTATGAATGAATATACTTAAAAAAATTTTTTTTTCAATATTTAATTTATCTTGTTTGTGTATAAAATAAAAAATATAAATAACTTTCATTATTATATAAATTTATTTCATTAAATTTAATTGATTGATAATTGGTTGACCAAGTTGTGGTTGTTGTTGTGGAGAAGGTACATGTTTTGTAATATCTGAACCACTGATACTACCATTACGATGTCTATTACCATTGACAATAGCAATTTGACTTTTTAAACGTTTTTGAGCTACACTATCAGCAAAACGAACTTGTAATGGATGGTCTGAATTTGGTAACATTGTATTATTATAGGTATCAATAACACTTTGAGCAGCAGCTCTAGTATTAAATCTAGCAAAACCAACACCACGACTAACACCATCTTCATTTCTAAGAATACGATGAGAAAGTACTTTATGTGGTTTGAAAAGATTTAAAAGTTGTTTTTCATCAACATCAACAGGTAAATTTGAAATATAAATATTCATCGAAGTACTATCTTCTAAGTTCTTTAAACGACTACTATAAGATTCTTGTGAAGATGGTGTACCTGAACGAGCAAAAGAAACATAATACTTTAATTTATTTAAAGCATCAATTGCCTTTCTAGCTTCTTCCTCAGTTTCATACATTACAAAACCAAAACCTTTACATTCATTAGTACGAATATCTACCATTGCTTTTGCTGATACAATAGTACCATATTGTTTACACATTTGATATAATGAATCATCTGTAGTAGTTGATGATAAATTACGAATGTAAATATTCGTTGATGGTTGAATTGGTCCATTATTTGATCCATTAGGTGATGCAGGTGAAGAGAGACTTGGCATACATGAATTAGAACGACCAATAGAATTAATATCCTTAGGATTAATATCATCCTTATTCATAACTATACCAGATGAACCATTATTAATGATTTCATCTTTATTTTTCATACCATAGATATCAATAATATCATCTCTCTTTGTTGATGGAATACGATTAATTCCATTAATATTGCTCATATTATATGTTTGACTGTTAGACTTATTAATAAAAGAATTTTGAAGTTTAAAAGTATTATAAATTTGGTAGAGTAATGATTTAGCACTTAACCACCATGTTGATGCATTGGAAAGAGTAATAGGTTTACCCATTTGAATTTCATTACGCATATCACTACATATTCCAATATGTAAATTAAAGGTATAAAGAATAAATTCTAAATTACCTGTTTCTGAATAATTAATACTATCATCTCCAAAATCTTGGAATACAAATATATTTTGTAATCTTGTTTTCATCTTCTTAATTAATGAATCGGTATGATAATACCATCCTTTTAAGAATAATTGTTGATTTGCTATTAAAATTAAATCATCGGTTAATTCACCTTTAATATTATTTTGAGTTATAAAGTTATTAATTTCATTAAATTTTTGTTGAGAAGTATAAATTAATAGATCTAAATCATTCTTTAAATAGTAGAGGCCATTTCCAAAATTTATATTTGAATGTGGACTTGCAGGTGGAGTTGGGAAATTAGTTGTAGATAAAGGTATTGAATTATTACGAGTAATATCTGAGTAATAACTATTGTTACTAGATGCATTAGAAGGATGATGATATGGAAAAGATGGCATCATATTAAATTCTCTATCACGAGAATATAATGGAAGATTGAAATTAAATGATTGTGAATTACTTCCATTAAGAGGAGAAGTTTGTTGATTATTTAAAAATACTTGATTTGTTGTAGCATTACCATTAATACTTGGACTTCCCTCAGTAACACTGTTACTACGATTTAAATCTAATAAAGGATTATTAATATTTGGTGGGAATAATGGATTATTATTTGTATTCATATTCATATTCATTTTTGAATTTGAATTAGTTTCAGAATTATTATTTAAACCCATAATGGAATTTGATGATGATGTTACTGAAACATTATCTAAAATTGAATTATTTCCATTATTATTTTCAAAAGTATTCATTGGTACATAAGCTGGTGTTAAGTGTGAATTCCACTTAGAAATTGGAACCCAATGATTATCATTTTCGTTCATTAAAAAACCAGAAGAAGCTGCTGAGATAACATCTTTTCTAGAAATAGCATCACTTCTGCTGATACTACCAACTACATTAAGTGATGAGGATCTTGATATATTTTTATCATGACCAGCAAACATTTTTATTTCTTCGCTTGGTAATCCATTAACACTTGAAGATGAAGTAATTGGGTTGAATTTTGAAGTTACATTTTTTGTATTGTCGTTCATAGGTGTTGGTTTAAAGTATGTATAAGTATTCAATGTCATTTTGTCTTTTTTTTTTTTTTTTTGTGAAAATATATTATTTAAATAACTGTATATATATAATTATGTTTATATAAAAAGAATAATATCTGTAATATAGTAATATAGTATTTTATTAAAAAATATAAATAAATATATAATTAAAATTATATTAATAAACATTTAAATTATATATATAAATAAACTCATTTATTTATTTTTATTCGATTTTTATTTACCTTTATTGATTAGTAAGAAAAAT